CTTACCCTCTGAGATCATCTATTGTGATAACACTGTCTCCTGTCTTATCCAGTTTATTAAATGCTTCATTAATGATATCTTTCCTGGCTTTACTCATTGGTGGCTGAAAAATTATGAGAGCAAAGCATAAACCCATAATCCTAAATCTGTGGCATTTAATTAATGTTTACAATAGTAACTGGAGTAAGTGAAGTCCAATTCAGTCTGTAAAGTACGTCCAAGTAAACAGATTTCCATGGATAATGCCTGACTGCACATTCAAACTTGAATTTGCAGCTAAAAAGCAAGCTTTGAACGTAAGAGTTTTGGGGTCAAAGAGCCACATTTTAAAGATGTTAGACTGCACGTTTGTTTCACTGCCTTACCATTTTGTAGGTGTTTAGGGAGCTTATTCTATATTTAAAGAATTCTTTTTTGTAAGATTATTGCTCTTAGGCAATCACTGATGGTTTTAATACCTCAGTAGTTCTTTAACCACCTTCCGATTTCTAAGAAGTTTCTTTGGCTAATCCTTTTCCTTAAATACAAACTATAATCTTGGTATTGTACCAATACCACATAAACTTACTCTGAGAGCTAGGAGAAACTCATCAAAGTCAATAACACCACTGCCATCCTTGTCAAAGGCACTAAATAACTCCTGTAATTCCTGAGGAAATATTACGGTGTAAATATCCACACAAAAGCCATTTACATCATGCATGATAACTTTTATACCATAGGCATGTTTATAATTCAATGATTCTCACAGGAAGAAATAATTGGTAATTTTTTAAGGTCTCTATCACAATTTTTGCATATTGTCTATGAAGGTTTTATTCTGTCATACTACACTGTATGTGCAATTTGACTGAGTGAGACAACCAGTCAAGGAAATATTTGGGTCACGGTGCTGCCCCCCCTACAGGGATTTTTATGCAGTTTTTAAATGAGGCTGTTTGTGCCATACAATAACTTTAAATTATTGATGAATGACCAAGTCAAGTTTTTATTATTCTATCCCTGTAAAGACTGCTGTAAGGGAAATTATAATTATTTAAAGCAGCCTGTGTGGGATCAAAGCTGTCAAGATGAGCTTGTATGTCTGCTCCAGTAGCCAATCAGATCACAGGATTGCCATCTTGAGGACTGAGCAATAAAATGAATTGTAATGGATCATTTCTTTTTCACATCTTAAAAATATATCCTTGTATATTTTGGGACAGATGTCCATATATTATATTGTATATGATACGCTTCTTGGTTGCTAATACAATCACTTTCTCCTTAGCTATATATTTTGCATTATTGCTTTATTACTCTTTGCTGGCCAGACCTGTATTTCAGTTATTTATACTGCAAGAGGTTTTAATAAACATAACCACAATCAAAGAGTTTGTTAGGTAACCAAGTGTGGGTGGCTGTGTATGACAACCTTTCAGGTGACTTAACTTAAGCTTTACTAGTTTTGCAAAACAACGACACAAAGTAATATAGAATGCGTATTGAAGGAAAACTCTGCACATGACTTGCTTCCCCAGCTTAGGGCTACAAAAGTACCTTAGGATCCAAATAGAGGCCGTATTCACGCATACCCTTCTTGAATTCAGAGAAGTCTAAAGACCTATTTCTGTCATCATCCATAATTCTGAAAACTCTGAAAGAAAGGAGAGTAGCAAAGTTAGCATATGTTGTACACAAAGTCGATGATTTTAACGACGAGCGCAAACACTGAACACTTCCTGTTAACATTCTGTAACAGCGACATAGAACTTCAACCCTTTAACTTTATAAGACTTTTTCTATCGACATCTGTCCAATTACAAAATTAAGCAGTGCTGCACAAAAAGAATTTTCCGGAAAAAAAACTGTTTATGCTACACAATTGCAAAGAGATGTTCATGTATGGCTAGTAAACACAGATCATTTTATCATTTTTTTTATGTCAGTAGAGGCAATTGAAACTCAAATACGCCTATTTTTTGAGAAACGTAAGCTTCAGAGGAAAAAGTGATGGTGTATAGCTTTACTCACAAAAGCCAACTGAAATACTAGAGCGGCTTACGCAGGTTGAAATCAACCAACTACGTCTCAATCATACCTTCCAATTCCTTTAATGCCCGCTGAACCTCGACTGAGGCATTGTAGTCTCAAACGTTCAATCGGATCTTGAGAACCTTTAGAACCCAGCATTTTTTTACATTTCTGTCTCATTTGCGCGTCTGATCTGGCTGTTGCAGCCATGTTTCAATCTCTATTGTGCGTAACAAATATGGCGCCCTTTGCAAGTCACGAAGGCTTTATTATTCCGTTACTGTGACAACGACCGCATCGTGTCCAGTCTCTTCACGGTTAAAAAACAGTGGGCGCAGAAATTATTCAAACCAAAGAAGATTCAATCAACACAAAACAAAACAAAAAAATTTTAAAAAATTTAAAAAAGGGAAAAAAAGCAAAAGCAACATAAAATAAAGAAGAGAGATATAAGGAAACATTGATTTAAAAAATTAATAAAAGGATCGAAAAACTTCCAGTATCTCGCACAAGATATAATATAATCCTGACTGAATGTACTTCCTTTCAACTCTTAAAGAAATGTGACTTTAGTGAAGTATATTGGAGAAAGAGGAAAAAAGAATAGAGCCAATTAGGAATTTAGATTTATGTCTGGAAGAAAAAGATAATACCAGGAACGTATTGGGCTCCGATAATACACACGACTAGGAAAGGGAACACCAGCGTGCTCTGAAATTGAAAATTGAAATACATTTCTACGGCGCCATACCCCGCGATCTCCATAGTAATGAACACTAGTTAAGCAGTATTGAAAACAAGGCCTGAAAAATAGCTTCTCGTTACACTTCATTATTCAATACCTTTGAGGCTAACTTTGATAAAGAGTTTCAAGGTTGAAGTTCGTCAGAGCGAAGAGCTAACGTTCGTAACGTCAGCTTTAAAACCTTTTACGGTGGCCAACTCACGTCAACTCAGTTGATAACAGCAAATTACCCTGCTATACTCTCCCACCGACGCAGCACCACAGTTTCTATAGAAACTAACCCCCTTTATAACTTAAGTAACGATTACTAATCGAATACTTCTTTGAAAAGATGAGTCTTGGACTTATTTTTAAAACCAGTCAGTAATGATGATTGCTTAATGTCCAGTGGTAGTTTGTTCCATCGTTTCGGTCCTGCCAAAGAGTATGCCCCCGTCTTCATACGTTTCCATATTAGCCGCGGAGTTCAGGAAGCAATTATTTCCCTGATAATCTTTGTAAGCGGCCTTCGTTCTTATATTTCAATAGGTGTCTGATATAGTTAGATACTTGACCATTTAACACCTTATAATTCAGTAAAAACATTTTGAAAATTAATCTGAAACGTGCAGGAAGCCAGTATAGAAGCCTAAGAATCGATATAGTATGCTCATACCCTCTCGACGTAATAACAAGTCGAGATGTCGAATTATTAACAAGCTCAAGTCTGTTGATCAGACACTTTAGTCTAAATGCGAGGTTATACAAGCGTGAACAATAGTCTCGGCATTGTCCTGGGATAGATATTGCCTAATTTTTGCTACACCAGGAATGCGGTAAAACGCGCCCTTGTAGGTCTTTTAAACATGATCACTAAAATGGAAATACTGATCGAATCTAGTTCAGTCCTATACTCCAAGGATGTTTAGAGAGACTGATACATCATCTCCGATATGAATTTGGCTGAGGGGAGGCCGTGGACAATATCTTGAACTGATAATTAAAAGTTCAGTCTTATCCTGAGCTAGTTTGATCTTACTGCCATAATCCAGTCACCAATATGCTTAAGCTCAACTGACTCCTTCGCACTATACAGATGGTTGGAAAATATTACGCGTGAACGTACGCAGTTGTGACAACTGGGCTCCATGCAACATTACAATCGAATCCTAAAACTTTGGGTATTCACTCTTGTGTAGTCGATTTAAGTAGTTTTTTTTAAACAAGTTTTTATGTCTCAACATACCTTCAAGAGCGATAAACTAACATCTTAAGAAAGGAACGTCACGGTATACTCGATTTATCGCCCGCATATCATCGTATTCAAATCTTTAAAAGTGGCTAAATATGATACCATGTACCAATCAGACATAGGGCCTGTCCACATAGGAGGTAGTTTCTTTGGACAAATTTTGGCCAAGGCGGGCGAATCTTTAAACATACCGCCGACAAAAATTTATCGCACGTGAAAACTGGAAAAATCGGCTAAATAAACAAAGTCGTGTCACTTGTCTGTCGTTTGTAGTGAAAACTCAGTATACCACCAGCAGCCTTCATTTGAACTAAGTTCAGTTCACCCGTTAGGCAATAATTGCCTTTGATTGCAAACTCGTGGATTTTAACACTTTAAAACAACTGCAGATGAATCCTGGCGATGTAAATTTAAATCCACTGGCAAACTGTGTCTCGAGAGCAGATCAAGCGTTGACAGAATTTGTCAGCTTTGAATTTTTTTATTGGGGATGCAAAAAACGATACATAAACTGTATGCATAATGAAATGAGGGGCTGTTCAGAAACCTTGCCGTAGTGTATTTTGTAAAATGACATTATTCCAAGAATTACTATAATTAAGACTTACCTTCCAAACCCGATGATCCCGTTAGCTCCGCGTGATAAACATTTCGCCCTCAGAGATTCCATAGGGTCTTGAATCTCTGCATTGTTTTGTTTCGCTGCTTTCCGCATCAATTCTTTGTTTTCCCTGTTTGTTATCATCGTATTAAACCAGAAAAATAGCAACTCTCGCACTCTTTTTCAAACAAGCTTATAAATCTGCTTATGTCAGAAGATTTCTTTCCGAGTAATCTAAGGATGGAGCTAACACAGAAAGTGCGACAAATACTAGAATTACGATTAACGCGTTTTCCTGACAGTGAACATCACTGGATAAATTATTCACGAGAGAAAATAAGGAATAACACAAACAGGTGCAATGGCAGAACAAAAAGCGGAACAATATTTTATTGTCTTGCGTGGGAACTTACACAAAGAAACATTCGGTCTTTTAATTCAAGAACAGTAATGGGGTTTAAAATGATTTCCGTGCAACAGCAGGGATACAAACTTCCAGAGATCTGAAAGCGTTGATTGGGATAAGTTCATAACACGAGAATATCAACTGTTGATATTTTTTTGCGAGGTTCATAACCTCCCCGCCACTTCCAAAAAATTGCTTTTTGACCGTTTCGTTCCAGTCTCCCCCTACCAACTGAAGTCGAGAAAATAAACGTACGTAACCTGAAATCGGGTGAAACAAGAACAACAACAAAAAAAAGCAGAATTCGAATTCGTTTTAAAGTGTGCAAAAAAATATATTTTTTAATCGTCATATGTACATTATTTTACAAAAGTATGAATAAAAGTATGACACACATCCAAGAATTCCTAGCGATGTTCGACGCATTGAAGAGAAATTATAAAAATAATAATAATAATAATCCAAAAATACAAAAATATACAGTATGAAATCAGGAAAATGAAACGCCTATTTACAAACAGCTAGGTTTTCCATGATTCCTTCTTAATCAATACAGCAACGAAAGAGTTTCTCCACATCACATTAATTCAAATCACTTCAATAAGCATTTCAAATAAACTTATTTCAAAAGTCGATATGATCTGAACAGCGGCTTGTCAGCCATTCGAAATATGGTCACGTGTCTTGTCACCTGGGCTTACTTTGAAGAGCATACAATACGTCATCTTGATTGACATTCAAACGTATTCTCTGTTCCAGATCACGACGGCCAGATTCAACTAGAAGTAGTTTCCAAGCCCCTAATCGACAGCAAACTCCCGCGGCTTGAGATGGTGTAAGTGTGGAAAGACCTGGTGGGAGAAGATCAACGAGGAGAGTTATTGACAGGTGAGGTTTAGATCGCAACGTACATCTAGGAGACGGGAAAAGGCCATCGCTCTCCACAACAACAATAACATTAAGCTCCAAAGAAACCGTAAGTGTCAAAGTACGGTTAAACTCAAGGGGGTAGAGTCACATGATTTTTGTATTCGTCCTGATTGGTTGCCTTGTCTCAGCAATATGGATGAAAAAGTGACTTACCCTCAATGCGACAAAAATCGAGGAGTTGCTGGAAAACCTTAAATGAGCAAGATACAAAATTTTATCAGCAAACGTGTTTAATGATCCATGTTTGGAAACTCTCACTTATACGGCTTGTGTAAAAATCCATAAAGTGTACCTCCACTATCGTGGCCTAACTCCAAAAATGCTTACCCACCATGGGCACCGGGTGTTAGTTACCCTTGGACCAGCCCCTGGGGTTACCACTCGGCTTTACCCGACCTACGGATTACCCCCTCAGGCTACCCCAAGTATTTTCATTGATTTCTTAAAGAGGTCCCCTGTGCTCACTTTAATTCCTTGGTCGGAGAGAAGCACTGTGAGAGAAAAGATTCTTGCATAAGGAAATCAAGCAATGACCCCGAAAAGGTCTTGTTGAAGGCTCATCTCTTGATTAAGGGTTCAGTGCGAATAAATTATACCTTAAATAAGTCATGGTCACGAATTTTGTGTGGTTAACTCAGTGCTTTTTGATGGACCATACTAAAGGCTTTCCAAATCTTCATCTACCTCTAATTTAATTTTGGCATCACCCGTGGATATCTTAAGATAAAAGCAACCGTCTTATTGCCTCGTAAGCGAGCGCAAATAACAGGGATAAAAAAAAAAACTCAAAAGACATATCGAGCACGCCATGCGAAATAACTGCCAGCTTAAAAAATTGCACTTACATCTCCAAATGTCGCCTCTTCCAGTCCTGAGCTACGAAACTCGGCAATAACCGACTTCAGAAACAGACCCTCCATTTGTGTCAAGCATCTGGAATAAAGACAAATGTTAAAAACTGTTATACAAAATCAACAACGTTTGAAGCAATCCTTTCGAAATACATTGGCAGGATTACAACCTTTAAGGTATTTAACCAAAAAGATTTAAGAAGACAAAAGCTACCTCTCAGTCCCAAGATTTAACGAAATAAAATGACTGAATAAAAACACTAAGACATTATAAAGGTTTTTAAATTATTTCTGTGCTTGGTAACTTCCACTTCATTCCGGAAGATCGGAACATTTCAATTACATCTCTTACGAGGAATCACCCATCTCCTACTCAAATTTAACCAGCCCCTTACTTCATGGCTCGTATCTTTGGCGATGAAAACATGTCTTGCAATGCAGCGTCCACGTGACTCATCCCCACCAGTGCTGTTCCCTTCTTCTTAGACTGTGAGTCTGCGATCTCCACTGCCCTGCGGCAGATGTCTAAGCAGCGGCGAGCGTCACCGGAGACAGCTGCCACCTTTTCAAACAAAATGAAACAAAACAAATAAGAAACAGATGAAATCCAGATCCATCGAAGAAGATCACTACTATGACGTGTAATCTTGCACTTCTCGGTTGACTTTGAGTCAAGCAATCCAGACTAATTTAGTCTTAGGTTCAATTCGAGAGTTGGTAATTGTAAAGTGAAATTGATTTATAGGTCGACAACAATTCAACGCTTCCATTATGGTTGACCTTTCTTGGGGCAAGCGATTTTTCAACGCATGCGCATACGTCTTTCTTTACCTTTCTTGAGACCAGCTGTATGGCATCCGGCTCAAAAGCGTTTAAACCAACGATACGAGACATCACAATCTCTTGTAGCTGTGAAAACGTGTAGGGCTGAAAAGTCAGCCGTGTCAGTCCCTAAAACAAAACAAAATCCAAGAAGCTCTTAGTGGCTGTTATGACTACTCTGGATTTGTTTTAACACGCTCAATTAAAGAATCACTGCCACTCAAGCAAACTAAGAGACCGTAAAACTACTCACCAATCGACTGGAAACTCGTTTCATCATAATTCGTTCCGGCAGATCCATGGTATTAGCAATGGCGAGCACGATCAGCCGGGAGTGTCTCCGTGTCGGCCATTCAAACAGGTTGTACAGCACGTTTTGTTTACGCGTCCATAAAAGGTCTAACTGAAAACGAAAGGAGACATTGAATAAATCATTCAGTCCTAGGTCTTCGCGGTAAAAGATGCCTGCGTCGCGCTGAAAACGACAGAGGAATGACAGCAGGTCTAGAAAAGTAATTCTTTTGATTGGTACCTCATCCACCAATAAGACGACAGGATCCCTGTTAGGTGCTGGTGTACTGAAAAGTTTATCCAACAGATTGGAGGCGTGCTCGGGTGTTGCCTTTTTTCCTGTTAGAAGCTACAAATAGTTGAAGAAGAGACTTGTAAGCTTAGAACTTTTATCTGTAACGACAAAAATACTAAAATCCTAGGAAAGAATCATGCGGTATTTTCACTTGAGCGATGCTAAATAAGAGCAGAGGATAATATCAAAAAGAGCTGAATGGATCTCGAAGTACAACCGAGCGATCTAGCCTGCGGGAGGAGGCCCTCATTTTCAGTGCTGCACGACAAGCATTTCTCCACCGGCGGGAAGAATTGAGACGAGTCGAGGAGACGTTTCCGGGGGATCTGGCACTAATACTGTGTGCCAGACCCCTTGCTGACCTCGGGTCGCATCGCTCAAGGCTTCATACCTTCGCACGACCGAAGAAACGCTCGGGCCGAAACACTAATAACGAGTCCTTCTGCTCGCGCACTACGAGCGACTGATCTCAAACACGGAAAGAACGGGAGTTACAAAATCAAGATTGATTCTAGGTCGGTATCTGATTGGTGAGTAGAATGGCGTGAATTTTCTTAGCCAACCACACAGCATTGTAAAGCAAAAGCAATCATATCCTAAATCACTTTTGATAACAGATTATTTCTTTTACTAATGACTACTACAGTTACTAACTTTAAGGAAGGTGGAGTAAGCCTGTGCTGGTTCTGTTAGCTTCATTCCATTTATTTCCACGAACGTGAATTCCGGCAGGTCCTCGTCCTCTTGTATGCTGCGTAATACTTCATGTACAGTGGCTGTTTTTCCAGTCCCCGGAACTCCAGAGATGTACATGCACCTGCATTCACATACAAAAGAAGACAGCAATAAAAAAAACCTACAGTCAAACGGGATCAGAGCAATTTTCAATTGAATGTCGAAAGTAATACGGAACCCCTTTGGTTTTACATAACTTTGCTCTGTGACGAGTAAAAAAACTCGAGCCATCCTTCAATCAATCAGATGCAAAACTAAAGACAATCGCGACTTTGTCACTCGCGTTTTCCCGCGCTTCAGGCCGGCTGCTCGTTTTCACCTCGAGTTCTCATCTGCTAATGATTATGTAATCCCTTGTTCTGATTGGTCCCTAGGATTACTTTGGTTTGGTTTTTCGACAATCAATTGAAAACTGCTCTGAGACCTGATCAGTTGAGGAGTCGACCCGCTTTTATGTCCTTATAGCAATTGCGATAAACTATTTTTAAGTTGGCAATACCTATACGCGATTTGTTGTAATCCTATCAGCTTTGCTCATCCCAACAGCTTTCGTCACCTTTGAGTTCTTCTTCACTTCGTAATTGTGAATTAATGTTTTTCATAATTCCAAGCGCAGTTTATCCACGCGTAACAAAACAACGTAAACTAGCCATGACCTACCCCCCCGTTCCGTCCTCAAGTTTCCCCTCCACAAAGTTAAAGATATCTGTAAACTCCTTCTCACGGCAGGGAAGAGACGAAGGAACTGCCGACACATGCAGTCTGAAATTACAAACAAAACAGATGACATGGAAACCAACAAAGAGAATTTTTGATAGTGTCATAAAACATGAACCACTGTAATCATGCGTTTATACACGAGCCTCTGGCTCAGATGTGAGGGCAAACTCATTGCAAGTCATGACACCTATAAATTGAGTGATTGATCACAACAGCCAATCGGAATAACGGAAAATATCACAAGGAGCCATTGAAAACTAAAAGTGAAGACAGGCAACCGGTATGAAGTGCGGGAAAACGCGAGTAACAGAGTCGCTGTTGGTTTGAGATTTGCATCTGATTGGTTGGAAAGATGGCACGAGTTTTTTTAGACCAATCACAGAGAGAAGTAAAGCTAATCCTACGCAACTCCGCATCGCTTGGAAAGTAAATTTTTATACTTCTTACGAAAACAGAAGTTTCTCGGAAGATACCACAGCAAACTTACTGGACTAAGAAACAAGGAGTGAACTTCTAAAGAAACTGTGGTACTGCATCAGTGAGGGTATTACACTAGAAGGAATTAATGTGAATCTTCCACCGTCATGAGATGTAAAATCGTAGAGGGTTTTTCCCAATGTAAAGAGATTGTCGATTCTCTCTATGGACCTCTGTGGTGGCCAATGCACATTAGTGTAATTTCCAATTAACTACCGAAAGTAATTTGGGATAGCTTTTTGCCTTACCTCGGTTTGTGATTGGTCCAAAAAGCTCGCGCCATGTTCTTAACCAAAAAGACGCTAAAAAAAAACTAATCGTCACTTGGTCGCCGGCGTTTTCCCTCGGTTTTTGTACTTTGCCTGTTTTTACTGTGGGTTCTCATTGGCAAGTGATGACGCAAACCTTTGATGTGATTGGCTGTTGTGTTACATTTGTTTTTAGTTATTAACAGTCAATTGAAAATTGCTCCATCAACTCAGTTGGTAAAACTAAATCATCTTGAACTATGAAACAAATACATACTTTTTTCTAGCCATTTCAAGAGGTGTTCCCGGTGTTTTACAAGGCTGCTGCCTCTCAGGAATGCTTGGGGTCATCATTTTCTTCTGAGATGGCTGCCTACAGCTGTTTCTGGCTGGTGTCTTTGGTGTCTTTCGCTCAGTCTTTGGAGTTTTTGCCAGTTTCTGTGCAGAGTTTTTTTGAGGTGTTTTGTGAGGTGGTTTTACTCTAGATGGAGTTTTAGCAGTAGGTTTACCTATGGGTAATTAAAAATAGCTTTGAGTAGACATTCAAAACAATTGATTTAAGCCCTTACAAGCTTGCAGGTGTATTCAAAGTCCTGGAATTTTTTGAGAGAGGCCACCCAAAATTACTCTTGATAAACTCACATCCTCTTCCTTTTTTGCCATCAGTCGCAATGACACAGGAAAAAAAAAAGGAAGATGAAAGCAGCCAATCGAGTAGCAATTTACATTCTTGTTGTTGCAAGAATTATGAAGTCAGGTTCCCTCTAGATATGCTAAGGTAATGATACCCTGCCCCTTTAACCAGAGTAGTTCTATGCTCCCAGTAAAATGTGCCTCTCTCCTGACAAGTGGCTTGCTAATTTGCTTAGCAGTGGTGATCAACAAGTATCTGGTAGGCACAAATTTGAAAAATGTCTTTTCTATTATTGCTAAACTTGAAGTTCACCTGCAAAATCATTTCTTAGTTGACACCTGAGTTTCCCATACAATGCACATTGTAGGCATGAAATCTCCAATTATTACAATAACAATGGTACAGATATTGTTTTTATATCTACATAATTAGAATCACCCTTGGATGAGTCCTGTATTGCTGTGAATGAACTCTTGCCCTTGGACGATGATCTCAGTATTCTTATTGGTGTGCATTTTCCTTGAGCTGTTTTAAAAAAAATAGAAAACATGGAAAATAACATGAGATCCATCATAAATTCTACTTAACTTTTTTTCCTGCAATATTTGTAGTAAATGTGCTGAGAAAAGGTGAAAACTTAGGAAATCAAAATCTTACTTCTTGCTTTACCAATCTTTTCCACAACCCAATCATTATCTTCATCGTCATCATCGTCACCATCATTGCCATCTGATAAATCACTAACATCACTTGGATGAAACACATCATCATCATCATCATCATCACTGACGTTGTCATCATTATCATCATCATCATCATCGTCCTGGTCATCACTACATCTTGACTCACTCTCAAGCACTTGCTCTAAGACTTCCGCTGTACCTATAAAGAGATATACACACTAAGCTTTTATAATCAAAGATATTACACATAGAGTCAAACAGACATAGGAGTTGCAGGCCATGGATCTGATTACATCTGTGCAAATACCCTATCTCTCAGCCACCCCTCCCATCCATATAATTCATCCCTCTATCTTGACAAATATTCCTCCCAACCTGAGTCTATATTCAATTATTTTTTTTGAAACACCAAATTAACCAAATAATAAGTTGAAGTGGTAAATAAAGCAGTGACTAAAATAAGGTTAGGGGCCTTGAAATCTCTCCATCTCTCAGCGCTCATTTATATCCTCCTGTGCATTGTGCAAAATTTTTGCAACAACGTCTAAGATTTTTAAACCCAAGTTTTAGCACCACAGAAAGTCACAGACCTACCGACCATGAACTATCCTCAATAGCAATATATAAAAAAACATACCATATCTCTGCCTTGGAGACATAACTTGTTCTTTTGTTTTTCTTGTACTATTGGAATCCTTTGTTCTTTTAGGTGTCACTGCAGATTCATCTGGAACACTGCGGCTTGCTCTTCTTTTTAAAGAAGTTCCAGTGTCTCTATCAAAGATCAATGGCTCAATAGATACCATGCACTTTTTTTCAATTGTTAATTTCTTTGTACTCCTGGGAGTCTTCTTGTTTGTCTTCGAAGTGGAATTATCTGCAACTACAATGAATGTTGAAACACAATAAGTGGTGAGGGATACAGCCATATCCAAAGATGGGAATACATACATACATATATACTTTATCAAGACTCCCTTCAACAGGGCTTTTCAGTTACAATGTTAACTATAACATAGCACTGGTAATTAAGAAAACTAACTTATTTACAGCAATTTAGTGAAATTCAAAATATATTCAAAATTATTTCGTATGAAACACATTATTGTAAAGTATCTGTTTAAAACTGTTAATTTCTCTAGTGTTCTTGTTACTTTTGGCTAGCCCATTCCATTCCCTTGGAATCTCCCTAAGCTCCCTAAAATAATAGGATATTTGACTCTGATTAGTGGTTGGCTGCCTTGAGCTTTGGAAGAAAAAATAAATTTATATAAATCCTGGCCATGAAAATTTGCACTACAATGCTAAAACTTGTAATTAATTGATGAGTGAGGGGAAGGTGCCTGGAGAGTCTATTGGAGCCATAAGGAAGTGGGAAAGGTAACCAAGACAACACTGTGAAAGGCCACCACTAGGCTCTGTTGACCAAAGATCTTAGTGGGAGGGGAGGGACAGGGGCACAAAGGCTGAAGCCAAGTGAGTGACAGAGGCAACAAAATAAAAAACGGCTTGGCATCAAACAGAGCAGTACAGACCTAATTATGTACTGAAAAAATGCCTTAGAAAGCTGGCCACCATTATCTAGAGTTTAACCTAATCTAAATGACATTTCCCTGTACTCAACCTCATAACAAAATTGTTAGATATCAGCTCCTTGCTTACCCTTTTCTTTAGCTGGCGTCTTTTTTGCTTTTGGTGTTTTTGCAGTGTTATTTGGCCTCCTTGGGGTTTGCTTTGGAGTTCTGACATGATTTATCCCTCTTTCTATGGTCTGTTCTGTGTTTGATGTAGACTTCCTGGAAAGCCTTTTATTAACAGGATAAAGGTTGTAATTCTGGTCAAATTTAAAGCGAATATAATAAAGACCGTCTCGATAAGAACTTTGTAAATAATCTGGAACTTCATCTTGCGGTTTTAACTTTAAAACATTGCACTTTCTCCGTATATCTTCAGCTTTAATATGATCATCTTTAGAACTACAACAATCCTCACTTGGTAGCAATAATTCTGTCCAAGATTTTGGGATATCAGCAGGTTTCTTCCCTTTGAGTTCTGAGATTTCACCATAAGTGTAATACCACTGTACTATAGCTCTGTTGGGATCTTTAGATTCCTCAATTTCATATAACTTCTGTACATGTGCAATGGAACGCCGCCCCGTGCGTCCGAGTATAACCACATCATCTCCACACTTGATCAGGATTCCGTTAACTTTGCATTGGCTGATGAGCAGAGAGAAATAGAGAGGAAGATTTAAGAAGTTACAAGGTTAGATTTGACTCTAAACTGTCGTACGTTTATACGAAACAGTAAGAATTTTGATCTTTCTGCGAGCGATCGAAAACATATCTGACATTACCTGTAAAATACTTTTCCATCGTCTATAGTGCCATTACCAATCCATTCTAGGGTATTAGTAGAAATTTCTCTTTTTGTTGTGACAGGCATCGTGTCCAAATATGGCGGTAATCTCGACAACTATACTCCGAAACTCTCCGAAACTATTAATAAGAACTCAAATCTGGCCGCCATTACACGTGCAACAGTAGGAGTGGGAGCTGGGGAGACTCATTCCCAGTCAATCTCGTACATTTCTAGCAACGCAGTTGTGCGATTAACTGGCATGGCTTTTTCATATATATATTTATTTATTTATTTATTTTTTTAATTCATCGACTACTTTCATTTGCGTGTAGGTGCGGAGAGAATCATTTAGGCAGATGCCAAGAAAAGAAAACTTCAGAATGATTCATAATCGATCCCCGATCGTGGAAGGTCAATCAGTCACAAAGCGTGATGTCATGTGATGTTGACGCAAATAATCTGAGTTTCTCCAGGAGCTTCTGGTTTCTCTTTTTCTTTTCTTCGCTCATGATTCTTCAATCTGCCACAAGCGACCAGCCGATTTGATAGTGGGGAAAATAGATGATATAAGGCGAAAAAATCATCGGTCTAGATCATGATCAGTTTACGCATGCCCCATCATAGAGAGTTTTTTGCATCAGCTGAAGTTCCTCATCTACACAAAGAATTTGCTGCCAACAGCATTGGAGATTTTTGACCGTGATCTGGTGTTTCAGAAGCATTTTCTACCTAATAAGTCGCATTATTCACGACTGCTGACCTACTACTTTTTAAAATTTCTTTCTGTTGGTGTTTTTCCAAATTAGAGCTGTGAGAAATTGAGGTTTGGTCATGCAAGAAAGTGATATGTGATTGATCCAGGTCACACAAATTTCCTTAATTCCAAAAAGCGGAACACATGTATTGACAAATTTTTTCACGATTACTGTAACCTGAATCAACAAGTAAATCCTATAGGTGGAAATTTTTGCCATTTCATATTATTTCGGAAATATTAATTTTTTTGTCCCAACGTGAAGGAATGAAAAGGAACAAATACAAATTTTCAAAGCAAGGGTAAACCTAACCTCTTGTAGCAACAAAGTTGTGATCTTGACGATGTCATTGAGCGAGCGTATTGTATAAAAGCAGAGACTGATACATGATAGAACTAATGTGTTTTTTTTCCGTGCTTTTTACCAGCTGGCCAAGTCAGCATTCTTCTACATGCATTATAATTAATATTTGTTGATTAATTATAGTTTAGTTTTTATATGTTGCAAGTGGCTCAGACTTCCGGAGCGGAAATACATGTTTAGATCCCAGGACAAGGTAAAATCAAAGATTAAACAGAGTATTTAAAAATCAAACGAGAAGACAAAGTTTAAACTGATAAAAGAGCGATATAGTGTAGAAATTTTACAGCAGCAACTAGTGCAACGATCTAATGGTGTGATTTTCTTTTCGGTCGAAATCCGCTTCCTCGAACTTCCCAAGGAAACGGGAATTGGTTCGAGTTATCGAAGGTTCAAGATTATCAGGATTAGAGTTGAATTTCAATTTCCCGTCTGTTATTAATACGGATTCATGTTTTTACCATCCTTGTAACATCAAAATTAATTTTCACACATTTGGTCTCTTCTATAAGAGCTTATTTTTAATAAGAACGTTTAGTTTGGGAAGTTTAATGAGCAAAATGTACCATATTTTCATAAGCACATCTATTGATAGACCCTGAACCTGTCCGTCACATCCGGTGGGATAATCCTTAGCGTTCTTTTATCCTTTTATATGGGCAAAATCCTTGAAGGCCTAATTAGCAAACATTTGAAGCCTATGTCAAGAGACAAATTAGCTCCTATGTTGCAGAAATGTTTTCGTCGGGAATTACCGAGGAATATAAAACATGCAATTTAGCAGACGCTGCTTATTTACCCTGATGATGATCAAAAACGTCTAGTTTTGACTTTTAAAACATATTTTTGCCTTGTAAATAGCTCACGTTTTCATATCACGTTTTCATATCACGTTTTTACCAATCGCGATTAGGAAAGAGTGGAAACTGTCAATCAGCTATGTTCTGATCGAACGACGTTTGTACTTAAAGTTTCGAGTTATCAGGGTACATTTGAGCCAAGGGAAAGTAGAATTAACTCGACCTAATGGAAATTTCGAGGTAGTTGATAGTAAATGGCCAGAAAATGAGGAAATATAAAATCTTTAAATCCGATCTTAATCGAGTTAACGAGGGGTTCTATTGTCTATTTTTTAACAAGGCCGATGATGTATTAAAAACCGAAGGAGATAAAGAAAGACCCAGTGATAAAATATACGTATGCTCTTAAGTTTGTCGAAAATCAGTCAAACTTAATTTCAACTGATAATTTTTATTACTGTGTCGAACACTTTTACTCATGTCATTTAGGAATTTGCGGATAGTCGACTTCCTGCAAATAGCGTGACGTTTTCCATATATCTCTACTTCCTGTAAGACTTGAGATCGTTAAAAAAACAAGTTATTAATTCAACGTAAATGTCTTCGTGAAATCATTCATGTCTCCGCGACAAAAGGTCAATTGCTCAGTGTCAACAGATATAGTATATAATCCTTCTCCTGTCTCAAGTTTATCAGATAGTTTTCGTCGTCGAGACTACAACATCAACAGTATTCAAATCGTGGAAAAAAATTTTTCTAGGTCTGGTGCACTGTACGAGCTACTAGATGGCATCGCTTTCTACGAAAAATTGGGGCAATGGAAAGAATTTCTGGGGAATGAATTGGCAGTACGATCCACAATGGATATTGAACGAGGAACAAAAGGAAATACAGCTGAAACTAATAGAATGCTGTCGTACACTCATCAGACCCAACGCAGTAAGTTTTTGGTATAACGAGTTACACCATGTTAATTCATTATCTTGAATTTAATTTCAAATTTGTAAGACGACTATTGAAAAAAAGAGTTTTCTTTTGCAATTTCGTGGCGAAAATTGGAGCGAGTTCGCGCGTGGAAAGAGGAAAGAGGAACGAGGAACGAGGAGAGTGTGAACACGCATTCGAAATAGAAAACTGATCAGCGCTGGCGCTGTCGGATTAAGATTATAGACGAAATGCATTCATGGATTAAGTCTTCTAATTTTCTTCTTCCTGTTTTCGCCAAGGCCTTTTTTGAATAAAATTCCTGTGTTTCAAGAATCAACGGAAACTCTACAATTTTCCTCTTTTTAGGACAATCTAAATTTCCGCGTGTCACTCTACCACTCTTAGGGAAGGGCACATTGCATATTACATTAGCCTAAATTCATTGTGAACAGTTTGAGCTTCGTTAAAAAATTCCGTAGAGTGTATTTCATATTGTGGATTCTGGGTAAGAAATGCGGGTTGGGAAACTGCCCATCGGTACTAGATATATTCCGCATTACTTCTTTGGCAGTAGGGGACTCTTTGTGTTAGGAAGGTATGAAGAGTCTTCTTAGGCCCTGTCATGTCTGTACTACAAAGGATAAATTCAAAACTTAAACAATCGGGCCTTCGTCCATACTTCTCCGAATAAATTTTTCGCTCAAAACTGTATTTACGAAAATGTTCTCCAAAGTGAATGAATTTTACCCGCTGTTGGGTCTAAACTCGAAGGGAAAACATTTTGAAAACAAAGGGTTAGGGTTAGGTTAGGGTTACGAACATGTGCAAACAATTTTTTTCAAACGAAATTCATCAGTTATCGCTGAGTAACGTTTTAAGTGGGGGAAAAGTTATCTATTTCAACAAAAATCTCATGTTAACGGAAATAATTATCAATGATGTCCCTTAACGGGTGCATATGATTTCGCTCAAAATTGTATTTACGAAAATGTTCTCCAAAGTAGATAAATTTTACCCGCTGTTGGGTCTAAACGCGAAGGGAAAACATTTTGAAAACAGAGCTTTTACGAAAACGCACTTTGATCAGTTTTTGTTAAACGAAATTAATCAGTTATCGCTGGGTAATGTTTTACGTGGGAGAACAGTTATCTATTTCAACAAAAATGTCATGTTATCGGAAATAATTATCAATGATGTCCCTTAACGGGTGCATATGGTCGATACTTCGACGCGAGGGGGTGCTCAACGCCTTTCCGAGGGGGTGGGGAAAAGTTTGGTCTTGCATCTTAGTCGTGTTACATTCGCCACTGATGATTCCATCCCCCTTTCCCTTCTCCACCCGAATCCCCCCCCCGCCCCCCCAAATAATTCTTTGAAATCGATACTATAAATTAAAATTCAAATTACATGTACGTGAAATAATTTTGTCTATGTCAAAGAAAGGTCAATTACAAAATTCAAAGAATGATAAAAAACAGAACTATGAATATCGTCAATTTATGCGAAGATTCTAGGTCTCATACGCGAAGATGAAAGCAAGGGAAGTATGATTTCAGAATGTCATTATACAGTTGTTTTTCTTCTTAAAAAACTCCAATCTTTGTTCATAAACTTGCATCTGGGTCAGTTTCGAACGAACCGCATTGATTTGATCAAGTCACTTCTCGAACTTCACATATTTTTATTTGATATCTGAAAACAGAAAAAACAATTTATTTTCAAAGATTTCTGAATCGTGACCTTTTCCGAATTATCTGTTGCTGACATCGCAGCTCTCGATGAGCGCACTTCAAATGTCTAGAAATTATGGTGATTTAATTCTTCTTGAAACAAAAATTTTTCCACGTTGCATTATCGGTGAAGTTTCATGATCACGATAACTATCGAGTCATGATTACGAAAAATTTCCTCTTCCGAAAATAATATTTATTTGGCTAAATTATAGGCAATCTTCTGCTAGTTTGCAACAGTTAGGTCATGTTTTCGTCTAAAACCGTGATTCCTGATTCTAGAAGAAAAGACCCCTAAAATCGATAAACAAGCACAATATAACTCGTTCAAGATCGCATGTACGGTTTTAAATCGAGACCACCCAGGACGTGAGAAAATTAAAACAATATGAGAGAACGCCCTTTTCCTTGGCAAAGGAAACAAGTTAAGTGTATTTTAAGGGGGGCCATGACTATCCCGCCTTGGCGGTGAGGCAAACACAGCATGAGTCCTTCGACATCGCATGTACTGTTATAACTCTAGACCACTTAGAACTTGAGCTAATCGGAACAATACGAAGGAGCGCCCTTGTTTGTGGGAAAGGAAACAAATCAAG